TCAACACGCCTGGAGAATTCCACCAGCGAAGAAAGAACAGGTAAAATGCAGCAAGCCAAGAGTTAACAAGGGTGGCCTGGCGTCCGAGTGGAGATGAAACACCTAAAACAAAAATATTAAATAAAAGCACATGGAAAGCTCTGAAGCAATTTAATATTAACATCAAACCTCACACCAGTTAGGATGGCTACTATCAAAAAAACAGAAAACAACAAGCGTTGACACGGATGTGGAGAAATTGGAACACTTGTGCACTGTTGGTAGGAATGTAAAACGGTACAGCCACTGTGGACGCTTCTCAAAAAATTAAAACTAGAACTACCATATGACCCAGCAATTCCACTGCTGGGTATATACCCAAAAGAGTGGAAAGCAGGGTCTCAAATAAATATTTGTACACCCATGTTCACAGCAGCATCATTCACAATAGCTCAAACGTGGAAGCAACCCGTGTGTCCATTGACCAATGAATGGATAAGCAAAATATGGTGTATATATACAATGGAATATTATTCAGCCTTACAAAAGGAAGGAAATTCTGATATATGCTACAACATAGATGAACCTTGAGGACGTTATGCTAAGTGACATCAGCCAGTCATAAAAAGACAGATACTGTATGATTGCACTTATATGAGTTACTTAGAGTAGTCAGAATCAGAGATAGAAAGTAGAATGGTGGTTGCCAGGGGCTGGGGAGATGGAGAACAGAAAGTTATTTTTTAATGCATATAGAGTTTGAGTTCGACAATATGAAAAGAGTTCTGGAGTTGCATGGGGGTGATGGTTGCACAACAGTGTGAATGTATTTAATGCCACTGAACTATACACTTAAAAACGGTGAAGATGGAAAATTTTATGTTTTGTATATTTTACCACAATAAAAAAAAGTGAAAGGGGCCGGCCTCGTGGCCGAGTGGTTAAGTTCAGGCATTCCACATCGGCAGCCCAGGGTTTTGCCGGTTCGGATCCTGGGCAAGGACATGGCACCGCTCATCAAGCCATGCTGAGGCAGCATCCCACATGCCACAACTAGAAGGACCCACAACTAAAAATACATGACTATGTACCAGGGGGCTTTGGGGAGAAAAAGGAAAAATAAAATCTTTAAAAAAAAAAACCTAAAAAAAAATTTAACATCAAGAATGATGGGAAAATGTTCTATTTCCTTCTGAACATTGAGCCCATTAGCAATAAAACATCACACTGTGATTGTCCCAGAGTTGGGCAGTGAAAGTCTATCCAATCAGACCCGGCCTCAAGCCCACTCGAGCCCCTGATGAACACCAGCTGGGATGTTCAGAGGCCGATGTATTGTTTTCTTGCCCTCTGTGACAGGCAGGTTGTTGATATAAGAAATCTGTGAAAATGTTTATGATTATTCTGGCTTTTCTTAACTGGGGATTCTAGAACCACACCTCTCCTCGGGGACTTTTACATGGGCGGTGGAATGTCAAGAGCAGCGCTAGAACAGAGCTGCTGTGCAGCCGAGTGACCTCTCGGAGCTCAGCTTCCCACCTCCTGCAGGCCTTTCTGCAACCTGTCACCTTCCTGTTTTGTCTGGAAAGAAAAGCTTGTGAAATACCCAGGGTGGAGCCTAGGAAACTAAAAAATTTCATTCTATTACTGCTAGAATGAATATTTGAAAAGCTAAACCTCCATTATAATGATAGCTAGTGTTTATGGAGTATTTACTGTCCTTACAGGGGTTATGAGCCCAGCGTGAGGAAGCTGAGGCTTGGAGTTGGTGGGTGGCCTGCCAAGGACACACGGACGGTAACGCGTACCCTGAGGATTTGAACCCAGTTCTGCCTGTCTCCTGAACGCCCTTAACTTTGACGCTACATCAGTATTGAGCAGTCAGGCCTGCCTATGTGGGCTGCTGATGGAGCCTCTCCAGCCTCCACAAAGAGAACCTCTCTCTGCCAAGACTTGCTTCACTTAAGCCCGGGGACTTGCAGCGTCTTGTCTGAGTCCCCTCTCTGACCAGCTTCCACCTAGTAGCAGCTGGGAATCTGCTCCCTTCTTGCTCTTAAAGAAAAGGTTTCATTTGGTTATTTATTCACTGTAGGAAATTAGGAAAATCCTGAAAAGCACCAGAGGGGGGAAAAAGTCATACATAATTACGAAACCTTGAGATAATCTTTTAAAACAGCTTGACGTATTTCAATCACATTCAAAGTGTTTTTCAGAGGCCTGTTGATCCCAGCCTGCTACCAGCTCCTGACTCACCAGCATGGTCATGTTCACAGACAGGCCCTCGCAAGGAGCTACCGACAGAAGGTACAGGAAACTATGACCTGGCACCCGCTATGTCCTAGAAGCTTCTCCTTTTACTCTGGTGGGTGAAGACTTTCTCCTCAAAGTGGCCCCCACAACACTGTGTCCTGCCACCTTCCAGCCTCAAGTGAAAGTCAGAATTTTGGAGCCAACTTTTGGAGAAATTTGGAGAATTGATACAGAAAAATTGATATGCCCTTTTCTCCCTGAATTTCTTATCCTGAGCATAATGCTGATTTGGTTTAAATCTGAGCCTGGCTCTTTTAGAAGCCAGGCACCACACCCAGGCTAATATGGGGTATATAGTTACTGCCCTGGTAATTATCCAGGCCATAAATCACCCAACCCCTATCCCTTTAGACTGTCCAATAGAAATGTAACAAGAGCTGTATGTGTAATTTAAAAATTTTAGTAGCCACATGAAAAAGTAAAAAAGAACAAGTGAAATTAATTTTAATGACATTTTATTTAACCCATGATATTAAAAATACTATTGTAATCAATATTAAAAATATTACTAATGAGCTATTTTACCTTCTTTTTTTGTGCTAAGTCTTTGACATCTGGTATTTATTTTACCCTCACAGCACATCTCAATTTGGAGCAGCCACAGTTCAAGTACTCAATAGCCACAAGTGGCCAGTGGCCGCCATATTGGACAGCATAGTTCCAGACCAATTTTAGCTCCATTCAGTGACCTGCAGCAGCCTCCCTGACCATATTCCCATGCTCAGGTCATTTCCCAGCCAGTCCTGAATGCTCCAAGGGTGGGAGAAATGGAGAAAGGGCCTTTTTGCACACTGAACAGGACCTGCCCTCCAGCATACTTGTTGGCAAGGAGCTTGAGCTGACGAGAGTCTCTGCAGATCTGGTGATGGAGAGTTCAGCATCGTCTCCACATGTGAGCACAGATCACCCTCAGGGAAGGCAGGAGAAGCAGATCCCACTCCCTTGGCAAAGCCCTCCCAGTGGCTTCCTATTGCATACGCAATCACGTTCAAACTCCATTGTGTGCCTCCTGCACCGACTTACCTGATCTCCAACTTTATTTCTCATGACTCCCCTGTGGGGCCTTAGTTAAAGCCAAGCCAAAGCAACCGAGCACCCCACGGCATGCTTGGCATTTCCTGCCTCCATATTCTTGGATATGCCATTTGTTCCCAGCTAGAACGTCCTCATCTACGAAATTCCCACCCAATTCTGAAGGCCCAGTGCTTCTTCTCTTCCTGGAACCTTCTTTAATGACTCCTGCTGGAAGGGTCTTCATCCTCCTCTGATATCTATAATGCACTTACCAGCAATAACCAGATCCAGTGGCTTTGTATTTCAGGACATGCCCTATTAACTTTTTACTTTAGGTTGTAAACACCCAAAGGGCAAGGGCCAGAGTCTTAGGTAACAATAATAACAATAAATGACAGTTAAATGTCTATTAGCACTTACTGTGTTCCAGGCACTGTGCTAAGCACTTTTCAATTAATCCTCACAACAACCCTGGGAAATTATTCCCATTTTATAGGTGAGAAAACGGAGGAGGCGAGAGAGGTAACTTACCCAGTCACATGGCCAAGTGTGGCTTCAAGCCCAGGCAGTCTGGCTGCAGAGCCTAACCATTTCCCCCCCAACCCGCCCTCCACCACCTCCCTGGCTGTGGCTGTTCCTTCTCTACCTCGGGCTGTGAACTTGGTAGACAGTAAATACACATTTAGTTATATGTCAACTACTTGGGGTTTTTCCCATAGGATCTAACAGAGTGTTAGGCGCATAATAGAGATTTAATAGATTTCAAAATTAATGCCCTGCACCTGCTCAGCCACCATGGGACTGGACATTCCTTGCACAGCCATGGCGTGGCTCATCCTCTGTATCTCAGCCCCTCCTCAGCACCCACAGCTCGAGCTGTGCCAGCCAAAGCAGCTCCATAACTAGATGCCAGCTTTCTTTTCAGTCTTGGTGCACACCTTGTACAACAGAAGACATGGACCAGATAGTGGGACGCAAAGAAGATCCCCACAAGACACAAGTGAATCCCCCTCATTTCTATCGACCTTATCTGCTTGTGTAGGGCTCTTATCACTAAGAGGCAATTTAATCCTCCCTCCTGGAACCGGAAAGTCTCATACCCATTCCCCAGGGAGCTGAGATAACGAGAAAGACCAAAGTTTAGGATTACTCTTTGATAAGAGCCTTGTTTAAACAAGATCGCATATAAAAGCTGGTCTGATCCCCACACCCTTCTCCCCTCTGCTCCCCTCTCTCCTTTCTTCACCTTTTGCTTGGGAGATTGCAAGATTGTGCAATGCACCCCAGAGACTGGGCTCTGGCAGACCTCATGCAAATTGCTTTCCAACCCACAAATCTGTTTCCCAGCCCTCTTTGTGAGTCCTCCTCCCCGAGGCCTCGCCCTTATCTCCTCCCTGGGAGTTGACAACTCGGGGCTCCCCCGGGGCCGATTGCTCAGATGTGTTTCTGGGCACTTGCAATTGGCACTTGCTCATTTACATTTTGAAACTAGAGGGACGTTCAACACTGGTTGGCTTCACATCCTGTGAATTGCCCAACCCTGGTTAGAAAACGCAGATGATAGCAACCTGGGAAAACTGCCCTCCTGAAATAGCACAGCCCTACAGCATTTTGGCAACAGGCTTTGCTGTGGTGAAGCTTCTGGCTCTGTGACGGTGGAAACACCCAGGGGTGTACATAGCAAGGAGAAAAGGCCACTTGTGCCACTATTAGTTTTCGGGGTGGCGGGCTCATTTGCCTGCCCGCACCAAAGTGTCGGTTGTATTTTTCAGTTTTGTTTAAACTTCAGATAAAACTGTAAACACCATGGGTTGAGGCCCTTTGTCCTGCTTTTGAGCTGAGAGAGTTCCTTCCTCCCCCCACCTTTTAGTGACCTAGCCCTCTGTCTCAGCACTGTCCTCCCTGGCCCCTCTTCTGAAGACCAGTCCCCTCGGCTGCAAAGTGGAGGTAAGGCCACTGCAGCCTCAAGAGCTGGGAGGGTTGAATGAGGCCACAAAGCCCCGCACCTGGCACCATGCCTGCCCGCGACAGGTCCACACTATCTCAGGACCACAATTAGGATGGGGTGTTGCAGGCCACTGTGGGTGCATGCAGTGACGCAGGCTGCAGGCGGTGGGGGACCCTCTTGGCACTTGCCCTCCACATAGATACCTGGCAGGCTGCCCCAGCTCCAGGGAGGGCCTCGGGAGCTTCAGGGAGAAGCGGCCAGCTCCCAGGACCGGTCCCTGATTGCAGGATCCAGGCCAGGGCCCGGCAGCCCTTTGGCACAGAACTTTCTGTACATTCCACAGCAACTGAAAGGGCTTTTGTCCCCACGCAGGAAGAACAAAACACAAAGGCAATTGTGTGTCTCTTTGCAGGCCCACACAGCAGGCTCAGAAAGAGAAACTTCTTTCCCTAAGAGGCCAGCTTTGCCTGAGCGGCGGCAGTCACAAATGTGGTCACCCAGCCACACAACTCGGGAGCAGTGTGGTATCTGAGTTCCCACGTGTGTGGCAGAGTGCGCATCACACCCACAGTACACACACACACACAAACCCCAACAAACTGCTCCTGCCCGGACTTTCAGGGCTGTGAGTCACAGATGCCACATCTGCGAGGGGCATCCGCCCACCCGCTTCAGGAGCTTACAGCTTTGTTATTTCTCTTTTCCAGGTGAGGCCACAAAGGCCCAGAGGGTCCTATGACTTGTCACGGGTCACATCGCTACTCCCACGAAGAAGGTAGGAGCATCAGAGAAAGATCCATTTTTAAGTTTGTCCTGGGGCCCCTTGGAAAGCATGGTTATTCATGGCCTTTTGAGAGGGTTGCAATGCCAGCCTGCCCTCGGGAGAGCAATTGCATGGAAGGAGTAATTGTGATTGGGGGAGGGTGGATCTCGCCTTTTGCCATTTTCTCCCTCCTTATTTTCCCCTTTCTCTTGTAATTGCCATAATAGGAGACTGAAGATTTGGAGGGGCAGGGGGATTAAAATTCATTTGTTAAAGGAAAAAGCTTTTCTTATCAAATGAAATTATTATGCATCATTTTATTGCACCCTGTGAATGGAATAATCCAACCCATTTTCCTGCAGGCTTGGCTGCCAGCAAGCTCAGGGCTGAGTTTTGTGAATCAGTTAGGGCAATTTATTCATCCCAGGCATGCTTGCTGCTCCTATAGGTGTCTGCTCTGGTTTTTGTTTTTATGTCTTGTGTCTTCTTGTATCCCGAATTCAAATATCGTAAGCAATCTTTGAGCTGTGCAAAAAAACTTTCCTTGACCTGGAGGAGTTGGGAAATCTAAGTGTTATTTCTGGCTCTGCCTGACTGATCAGTTCTACCTTGAGCAAGTCATCCCCTCTCCCTGGGCCTCATTTCCTCCTTTGTGAGACACAAGGATCGACCTGCCCACGCCTGCCAAGCCCGCCTGTCCCAGCATCACCCGGGTCCCTCGTTAAACACACAGATTCCCAGGCCTCTTCCCTGGATGGGGAACGAGACTGCAACCTGTATCTTTAAACCAAGCACCCCAGTGAATTCTTATTTTCTGGCAAATTTGGAAAACTCTAACACCAAATGGTTCCTAAGGTCTTGTTCTACACTATGATCTGTAATTTATATAAATAATTCTTTAGAAAGATGAAGTATGACAATGATTTTGAAATTACATGTCTTGTATTTACTGAAGATCGTTTATGATGATCCTCAGTTTTCATTTATAAACACACAAGGGGCACACTTTGTATTTCTCTTTGCAAAATAAAAACCCCACCCAGGTGGTCATTCTTCAGGCCGCTTTCTGTTGGATTCTGATGAGGGTCAGCCCTCCCACTCCTGCCCATGGAGGCTGTGCTTCTTTGGGAGCTCAACAAATGTTTCCCTAGACACTTGCTTGACTCCCTCCCTCGCCACCCTCCCTTGGGTGTTTACTCAAATGTCACCTAGCAGGAAGGCCTTCCGTGGGCTGATATCGCAGCTCCCTCTGCATTTTCCATCCTCCTTCCCAGCTTTGTTCTCCCTTAGCCCCCATCACTATCAACCTACTGAATATTTCACTACATATCTTGTTTGTCCGGCTTTGTGTGGCTCTTCTCACACAACTGGCCTCTGTGATGTTTAAAATAAATGAGCAGTGAATTAGGGGGAAATGGTTATGCATGCTCTAAACTGCAGAACATTTAAAATAAACACATAAACAAAAAGAAGAAAGAGCTGTAGCTGACACAGAAAGCTCAGAAGTGCCAGGCATTGTTCTCAGTGCCTTTGCATCCATCAACTTACTGAATCTCACGACAACCTACAGAAGCAAAACCTTGCTGTGTTTCCAAAGTCAGGAAACATTTCCTATACCACAGTCAGGAGAAACAAAACAAAAACAAAAACAAAACACAAAATGTGTTGCATCCTGAAGTAAACAAAAAATAACAGTCTCAACCATGACTGATGGTGGTACCCGAATAACAAAACCTCGATTATTTCCTGGGAACCTAGACTCTTTAACAAAAACAGTTCTATCCCCGATTTTTGCTCTGCTGATGTCTAAAGATGTGGTGACCTTTGTGAACATAATAATCGTGGGAGAAGGTGGTTGTTTTTCCGTAATGCGCAGACTAATGTAAACTTGGTAGCTACATTATTTTTCTGGTTGCCATAACAAATGACCACAAACTTTGTGGCTTGAAACAACAGAAATTTATTTTCTCACAGCTCTGGAGGCCAGAAGTCCAAAATTAAGGTGTCAGCAGGGCCGTGCTCCCTCTGAAGTCTCCGCAAGTGAATCCTTCCTTGCCTTTCCCAGTTTCTGGTGGCTCCAGGTGTTCCTGGCTTGTGGCTGCATCACTCACGGCTCCGTCCCCGTCATGGCCTTCTCCTCTGTCCCCGTTGTCTTCTCCTCTTCTGTCTCTTCTAAGGCACTTGTCATTGGATGTAGGGCCCACCTGGATGATCTCATCTTGAGATCCTTAAATTGATTACATCTGCAAAGACCCTTTTTCCCATTAAGGTCACATTCACAGGTTCTAGGGGTGAGGACATGGACATACCTTTTGGGGGGAGGGATGTCACCATTCTCCCCACTCCAGTAGCCTTGGTAATTTTGCACATTTGTTTGTTTGCTTACTTAAATACTACTGTTATGTTTGCATATTTGGAGAGCCATTTCTGAAGTCTGACTCTCCTGCACTCTTTGCAAGTAAATTTTCTTTCCTTTTCTGAACGTCTACCTCAGTTGTTCTTTGACAAACTATCATGTAGGTTTGCTCTATTATTATCTCTGTTTTAGAGATGAGGAGACTGAGGTACAGAGAGGTTGAATGACGTGTGAATTACATAAATTCACACAGTCTGCACCAAATGCGCCCTCACCCATAACTTAGCCACTCCAAAGATAACCAGCATTAACCCCTTGCTGTTTAAACTCCCATTCCTTTTCCCTTACAGGTGTATTTATTTTATTTTGACAGACTAAGACTCAAACTGCTTCCATTTCACTAAATATTCTTCAGCCCAGTTTTTAGTGGCTGCCACCTTCCATCACTCAGTGTTATTGGTCTTACAGCTTTCAGTTCAGCACACCTGTGTGCAGCCTTTCTATGTGCAAAGTGCTGCCATGTTGGGGAAGAGAGATGAAAAGGCCAGGGTTTCTCTCCTTCAGCAGCTTGCTGGCTAGTGTGTGATTCTTGAGCCTGGCTGTGTACTAGAATCATCAGAAGAGCTTTTAAAATACGCTCAGCCACCCTACCTCGGACTAGCTACCTCTGACTCCCCGGAGCAGGGGCCTGGGCATCAGCATATTTAAAGCTCCCAGGTGATCTCAGTGTCCAGTCAGGGTTGAGATCTCAGGGCCAAGGGCCACAAGCCCCCCCAGACATGCTAACATCCATTCTCTCTGAAGCCCCTTTCCTGCCTCCTGGGCCCACAGGCCAGCTACTTCCCCTGGTCTGCCAGACCACAGAACTCTCTGGATGGTGAATTAACCCCTTAGGTCCTGCACTTATGCCCTGCTGACTTCAGCAGCATCAGCGCAGGCTCAGGGGCCTTCTCCTCACGTGGATTACCCTGTTCTTCCCGCTCTTCTCTCTGTGTCTTTGGCGGAGGAAAGGGGCAGGATAGAAGCGAGTGGTTCGGGAGAGACATCACAGGTCTGGGAGTCAGAAGGCCTGGCCTTTCGTCCTTCTCTCAGAGCCCCTGTGATTCCGGCCCAGTCACTTGGCCTCATTAGAAGATGGCAAAACCATGAACAACTAGCTTGCGCCATTCAATACCTGTAACCAGATGGGTCAGTTCTGAGTTTCAGGGAAATTCATAAATTTGTAAAGTGACCACAGATGCCGCGGGTCCATAGCGTGACTTTGTAAAAATCCAGGTGAATTCTGGATTTCAGCAGTCCCTCAACTGCACGATCTCATGCAAGGAGCAACTGGAACAATTGTACCTGACCTGAAAGGAGCTCATCTTAAATGAATTTAACTGACAAAGAAAACGCTGGACCTGTTCCTTCACCTGAGATGCAATGAAGGGACTACGAATAGAAGAGGGCGGAGGAGAGAGAGGAGGCTCCAAGAGCCGCTGCAGAAACTCATGCAGCTTCAAATGCATCCTGTGTGAGGCTGGGCAAGTCATGCAGCAGGCCGCCCAGCGTGCACACTCCCAGCAGTCCACGGGGCTGAGAGCTGGTTTGTAAACCTAGCAATAGGGGCTGACTTGCCCACATTTGCGGCTTTGCAGAGAGAGGCTGTAAAATAAACAGTGACAATTAAACGAATCACTGCAGCTGCAGATGCTAACCTTCCTGCGATGGGGCGGAACCCAGCGGAACATTTGTGAAACTGGGCAACTTTGCTCTGGGATATTTCCATTCCCACGCTGCTTTTATCTCCCCTCCTTTATACTCATTTAACTTGTGTGTGTGTGTATGTGTGTGAGGAACATTGTCCCTGAGCTAACACCTGTACCAATCTTCCTCTATTTTGTATGATGCCTCCACAGCATGGCTTGATGAGCCGTGTGTAGATCCACTCCCAGGATGCGAACCAGTGAACCCCGGGTCACTGAAGCAGAGCATGTGAACTTAATCACTCAGCCACGGGGCCGCCCCCCAGTCTTCCTCTTTTTGCTTGAGGAAGATTGTTGCTGAACTAACATCTGTGCCAATCTTCCTCTATTTTATGTGGGATACTGCCACAGTGTGGCTTGACGAGTGGTGCTAAGTCCACACCCAGGATCTGAACCTGTGAAACCTGGGCTGCCAAAGCGGACCGTGTGAACTTAACCACCACACAGAGTATCAGGCATATAGTATGTGCTCAATAAAAGCAGATTCTATCATCCTTCTCTCTGGAAAGGTTCAGCTTTCATTTATTTAAGCCCTAGCATAAATTCAAATCATATCTTCCTTTTCCTATATGTCTGGCTACTAACACTTTTTATTGTTAAAAATCATCTTCCGTACTTCAAAAGCAGTGCATGTTAATTTGCTAAAAACCCAGAGAAGCAAAAAGAAAACATAAAAAATACAACAACCCCACCATCTGCACATTTACAATATCAACCACTTGTTGAGCGGTATAAGCTAGGCAATGTGCTAAGCCCATTATGTGCATTTTAAAATTTTATCCTCACAACCCTATAAAATAGATATGATTTCAATCTCCATCTAACAAATGATTAAACAAAGTCTCAGAGAGGCTAGGTGCACTGCCCAAGTTCACACAGCCAATAGGAGCAAAGCTGGGATTTGCACCCAGGTCTCCCAACCAGGACTGCAAGGTTCATTCCTGTGTAAGAAACTTTTAGACAGCAGAGAGGATATCTGGGAGCTGGGGAGCTCTTTCCAGGGCCCAGAAATCTCAATTCTTCAACAGCCTCCCCCTCCAGAGTTCCCTGCCTGGCTGGCCGCCCCTGGCCATACCCCCTGCCCATGTGTGCAGGCCTCTGCAGCTGCTTCCGCTATACCAGCTGCAGCAGCAACATATTTGCATGTAGCCCTGTGGGGGCTACTACAGAGCACGGACAGAACTCTCGCTGGTAGAGCTGCTGACACAAGGGCCAGAGGTCCTGCCCATCACTATCTTGCAGGGTGACCTTGGACAAGTCCCTTAAAGTCCCCATCTCTCAGGGGAATAATAGCAATCAGTTTTTCCTGTGGTTCTAAAGGAAGTATACAAAGTCACCAGATCGTTTCATATAACAGGTACTGAGATGACTAAAGGCAGGAATAATCTGTATACAACATGTTTACAATGTTCAAAGGGCGTATGATGACTTGAGATTATGAGAATGCATGTGGGCAGACCCACCAATACCAAAGGCACCTAAGTCATGAAACAGGAATAGGCAAATGCGTATTGATCGGACAAGTGACACCATGCAAACTCAGAGTAGGGAGGCTCCATGTGACATTGGATGGGGGGAAGCTGGAACCCTGAGGGGTGGGACTGAGACTGGGCTGGAGTCTGGGCTGAAAACAGAATCCCCACTTCTCGTCTGATCTGGTGGAACCCTTCCTGGAAGGCGCTGAGTTCCGTGATTCTGGTCGGTCTGTTTTGGAGAGTTTCTGGAACCTCAGGAGACACCCCATAGGCTTTGCCTCTCTGAACCTCAGAGTAAGAAGACTAAACTGAGAAACAGGAGGAGAGGGTGGGCCAGGGCTTGGGTGCTCAAAACCTGGGGAGCGGGTCCTGCCGAGTTCCCCGTCTGAGCATGGTCAGCCCAACCAGCCCAGAGGGCTCACATCAAGCTGCCCATTGATCAGCCTCATGGCTTTCTTGATCTAATGCCCTGAGGTTTTAAACAGCCAGCTTCTGCAACAGGAAGAAGAAAGTACTGGATTTCTCCTGGGTTTCAATAAGCTCCTAAAACAATCCCGTTTCTGTTTCAGATGATGATACCCTGAAATGATCTGCCCGTCCCTATGGCTTCTCAGGCACCCAGTCAATAATTAATTTGACCAACCAACATTCTTGGAGATGCCACTGAAGACCCAGCGCTGGGCCTGTGAGGACACCCAGAGGTTCACAACCTTGTCCGTGTCCTCAAGGAGTTCAGCATCCACATGGTGTTTGAGTCACCTTGGAGCTCAGCACGGGCACAGGAGAAAAACAGTACAGGAAATACTTCCCTCAGTGTCAGCTTGAGCAAAATACCACCCCTGATGACATTTGCCTGTGTCTGGAAATGTTTACACAGGGATTGCGCTGTATGGAGCATTACACCACATAAATTTGCCTTTGCAGGTCGTGTTGTCCTTGCATGTTTCCAAGGGCTGAGAAAGGCAAGGCAGGGAACATTCATGATGTCCTGCTGTGGGTCAGCGCTGTGCCCGCAGCCTCACAGGTGTTACTGCACCCTCACCACCACCTGGTGGGAAGCATCATTATCCCCACTCTGGTGTGGGGAGCTTGCAGCCCTGAGGAGCACTGAAGTGCTGCAGTTCAGGGCGCTGGAGCTGAGAGGGCAGGTTTGTGGGGGGTGGGGGGGATTAAGTTAGTAAGGTCGGTCCCAGCTCATGAAGGACCTCGGGTGCTGGCTAAGGAGTAGGACTTTCTCCTGGAAGCTACAGGAGGACACTGAAGTGTAGCAGCAAAAGTCATCTGATCAAATCTACAGGAAAGCTCTCTGGCAGCTGTATGAGGGCTGGTGGGGACGAAGGAGGAGGGATTGCAGAATGCGCCCAGAAGAGAAGGCTCTGGAAGGGCAAATCTGTTGTCCCTCTCCTCCCCCCACCACCCCCCCCCCATGCACACACAGAATAATGGTCTCTGGATTCAAATAAATCTTTTTTTTTTTTTTTGAGGAAGATTAGCCCTGAGCTAACATCTGCTGCCAATCCTCCTTTTTTTTTGCTGAGGAAGACTGGCCCTGAGCTAACATCCATGCCCATCTTCCTCTACTTTATATGTGGGACGCCTGCTGCAGCATGGCTTGCCAAGCGGTGCAGAGGTCCGCACCCAGGATGGGAATTGGCGAACCCCGGGCTGCCGAAGTGGAACGTGCGAACTTAGCCACTGTGCTGCTGGCTGGCCCCCTCAAATAAATCATTTTAATAACCCACTTTTAAATTTTAGACCCAAGTCAGTGGGCCCTGTATTAATTCAGATAATCAAAAATTGGCTAAACTGAGCCAGCTGAGTGAGAGCAGGCTGTGCTGTGGGCCACAGCCCTGGCAAGCGGCTGCTGTGAGGACACGCTTGGAAACGTCTGCCGTCACCCCTGAGGGAGCGCAGGGGGAAGGCACTGGGATTCAGGCAGACTTGCGTTTGAATACTGGCTCGGCCATTTACTAGCCATGAGACCTTGAAAACGTCATTTAATCTCTCTGATCCTCTTTATCTCATCTGTAAAATAGATTTCATCATTCCTCTCTTGTGTGATTATGGAATTATTCAGGGTACCTAGCACATCGCTGGCACTCTGTGAATGCCAGCCAGTATGCACATCACTTGGTGCCTGGTTTCTCAACGGTGCTGGCTCCGCCACCTTTGCTTTCCTTGTGGAGCAACACTGCCCCTCAGTGGCTGAACAGGGAATAATGACAGGTCTGCTGGGTGCCCCAGCCCCGCTCTCACCTACTCCACATCCCACAAGTTAGAGGAGTCCCGGCGTCCTGCACAGTCAGAGCTGACACGACTCAGACCCAGCCGGCACGCACCTCTCACGAAAGCCCAAGCCCCACCCTGGTCAGCAGGTGACAGGCTCCATCGTCCCCGGTACTGGAGGACCTCAAACCCTGTGGGTTCTGAACCTTGGGCTAGGAAGAAAAGACAACCGCAAATAGCCTGGGAACAGTTTTCTACAGATAGCCGTGACCTCCAACCCCGCCCTCCATGTTCCCAAGAATACTGGGAGTTAAAAGCAAAATACCAGTGGCACAGCCAGGCAGCCCCCAGCAAAAGAAGGAAGGAAGCCATTCAACAAACCCTCCCTGGGCACCCTCCAGGCCCCTGGTCCCATGCATGGGGGCAGGCACGACGGCCACCAAAACAAAGCCCTGCCTGCAGGAAGCTGACTGTGGAGTAGGGAAAGGACATTAACCCGACAATCACCCATCCACGTAACTACAGACTATAGCAAGGCTAAGAAGGAAAAGGTCAGGGTGCTGACTCCACACAGGACAAGGTAATGTGTGCTCCCTGCTGCTCCCATGGGCCTCATGAGCACGCTGTCAGTTGAGGTGCTGCCTCTGGGCTCTGTGCACACAGCACACATTTAACTGTTCTCTGCTTTTGAAGGTGAGCCCATGTGGCTCTGGGCTGTCTACCCCTCAAGCTGGTACACAGGGGTCAGGGAAGTCCCCAAAGGATGCACAGGCATTAATAAGAGCTGGCTAAAAAAAAGAACATTCCCAGAAGCAGGGACAGCTTGTTCGATGGTACTGAGGTGGGATCCCATGGGGCGTGTTTGGAGCTCGGAGAGTGGTGGAGGTGACACTGGAGCAGTAGGCAGCGGCCAGGCCATCAGGCACTGGGGGCGATAATCAGAAGTGAGGCCTTGATCCTAAGAACAGTGGGAAGCCACATTCAGTGCCCCTGAATCCCTGCCACCCACCCACCCACCCACCCCCAGGGACAAGCATCCACCCCTCGATGCCCAGGGTGCCTCCGTCAAGTCTTTTCTGGACTCTGTTCTTTTTTTCCCTTGTTCCAGTAGCATCCTATCAAATTGTGTCTGAGAGTTTTTTCCACTTCCTGCCTTCATCCTCTATTTCCACAGTAAAATCCTGTTAAGTAAAAACTGGCATTCAAACCACACTCCCACTTCTCAACTGCCAAGGATTTCTTGCCAGGCCTGTGTGCCCAGCCCTGTGCTAGGCTGGGCCTGGTGATGGAAGAGAAAATATGCTCCTTCGTTACGCCTATGGGGCTTCTCATCTTGTCCTGAAACCAGGGACTGCCTCTCAGCCAGCTGTACTATGCCATTCTGAGCCCTATCAACGGAAACAACGCTTACAAATGCTTCCTCTCTTTTAGAACATTCAGGTCCTCACAGAGGAATCAATCTGGTGGCCAGTCAGTTCGTCTGGAGAATGGCTTGTGGTGCCCAAGCAAAGAGCACTGGACCTGGAGTCCAAACACCTGGGTTTGTAACCTGGCCCTGCCATTTTTTATCCTGTGTGTCCTTAAACAAATTTCTTGACTTCTCTGGGCTTTGGTTGCTTTGTTAATAGAGCGGAGGTTAACAAGACTTTCTCTGCCTACCTTGCAGAGGGTTTATGAGGATCAAATGAGGCACCGTAGTGGTCCCAGATGAGGGTCCTGAGATGGGTGCCACTCGTGGGGACATTTTCACCATCCCACACTGAGGCGAGGAGAATACGGACAATGGAGTGGGGCTTTTACAATGGTAGAGTGATTCAACTTAAAGGACTGGCCTTTAGTCGGAGATGGTGTCCTTCTTTGCATTAAAATTACATTTATTTTATTTGTTTTATGAAATGATGTTAGACGATTTTTAAAATGTTCTTATTTGACAAAATAAAAAGATAGCACCTTCATTTGGGGGAATCTTACCGGTCTGTGAAACCCTGAATCCTCCTGAGTGAACCCTCTGCCAACCCCTCAGATGTGCTCTTGCTGTTTTCCCTTACTGCCCTGCCTCTTGGACTCCTGGCCACAGCCTGTGTCCTTAGGGGTGGGTTTGTCACCCTGGCCTTGAAAGCGCAGATTCCGGAATCAGACCGTTAGGGCTTACTTACCAGTTGTGCCACTTTCTAGCTGTGTATGATCTTGGACACGTTGGCATGTTCTCTTGTGCTTGAGTCTCTGTGTCTATGACACGTGTGCGTTCACAGTGAAGATTAAACGCGAGGCACGCAGAACAGCACGTGTCACATACAGGCACTCGACGAACGTTAGCCATGATTGTTTGATTATTGTTCCTCCCAGCCCCAGTTCACCAGGTCACAGCTGCCTGTGCCAAGTCTTGAGCCATTATGCCCTCCACTTCTCCATCTTCAAGGCCTTTTTATTATTTTATTTTATTTTTTTAAGATTTTATTGTTCCTTTTTCTCCCCATAGCCCCCTGGTACATAGTTGCGTATTTTCAGTTGTGGGTCTTTCTAGTTGTGGCATGTGGGACGCTGCCTCAGCATGGCTTGATGAGCGGTGCCATGTCCGCGCCCAGGATCCAAACCAGCGAAACCCTGGGCCGCCACAGCAGAGCGCGTGAACTTAACCACTCGGCCACGGGGCTGGCCCCCTTCAAAGGCCTTTTTAGATCTGCCTTTTGGGCCAAGAAGCCATTGACTTCTGGAAAATTCTTAGAAGAGAAACGTACAGAACTGTTCCTAATAAGCAGAAAGAAGAAGAGGGGTTTTAACTGTGCTTTTCTTTTTCATCTAAAACTCTGCTCATTGACTTGCAAATGAGGAATTGCTTCCAGGTTCCTGGCCAGTGTTTGCCACAGCTAAGCCAGGAGTGAACTTGGAAGCCGAGAACCTGGGAGAGGCACCTGTTCGGCAGAGGCAGGGGTTTTTTGTTTTGTTTGTTTTTTTCAGGGAACTTTTTCTACTTCAATATTCCTTATTTGGGACACAGACTGACAATCCCTTCCACTCGTGCAGGGAAGTGTGCTCCCAGCCATTTGCTAAGAAGACACGGCAGCGTCTGCCTCCCTTGTGACTATAAGAGCGCAGGGAGCCGGAGTGTGCGCGTGCCTCGAAGGCTTTCGTTCCTATAAAAGAAGACAGAGCCTGTCCCTGGGTTGAGGCCAGCCCAGCCAGGTTTTAGCGTAAGAGAAGACACATAGTCCTGGGCGCCTAGAACAAGCTGAAAATGCCAGCTAGTCCCCAACTCCATACTCTGGGCATCAGCGACAGTTGCCATTGGTAGAGATGGGCGGAGGTACTGTGCTTCTGCTCTTGCATATGGCTCATGGTATCTGCATAAGTGGAAGTCAGAAGTTCGTAAGCAAAGAGTTTCCATATTTCTTTTGTACTTTGAATGACATAAATAACGGGCACCTTAGTTTTTTTGTTAGACTCTCTATTATAACCCCTAAATGCCCTAGAAAGCATGCAGAGGGTTTTGCCTTTCAGAGTTGCTTTAATCCAGGCCTGGCTCCCTTCATCTGTGGTTCCCCAGGTCCTGCCCTCCTCCCTGTGCTGCCTGCACCCCCGGCCTGGCGTCCAAATGGCTCAGTCAGGCCATCAGTGTCCCCAGGAAAGAGGAAACGAGACAAGTCTAGCCCAACAAGAGTCCAGAGAGCCACCCTGATTGGACAGCTCTCCCCACCTGGAATGTTCTTCCTGCAGGCTCCTCGTAATGAATGCCACCCCTAAGCTGCGCCCACCTGAAGGCCCCACAGAAGGGCTCCAACCTCCTCCGAAGCACACAGCTCCTGCCCCTGTGGCTCCCTCAGAACCCGTGCTCCGGGTGTGAACTGCCTCGCAGGACAAAGTGATCGCCAATGAGCTGAACAACCTTCTGGTTCCCTGATTCCTTCTCAGCTCCAGCGGGAGACTGTTAGACGGTTCTAGAAGGAGGGAACAGGTGAGCCGTAGTCTGCCTTTGCACGGCTCCCTCTTCTCTCCGCAGACCCACACTTTCGCATTCTGTCTCCCCTGTGCCCTGGCTGGGCTGGGGAACTGAGCCAAATTCCGTGACCCACACCAGGAGGGGACACGTGACTCTGGCTTCCCCAGTCCAGGCCCTAAATAGCTGAGCTCCCCAGGCCTGGAGCACGAAAGTGTGTTGATTATACTGACCGTGGGTTTTATGAGTATCCAGGAATTCAGATAAGGAGCAAGCAGAATTAATTATTAGCGAGAAATGATTCCTCATCCCCCAAGTTTCTCCCTTATTCTCTCTGACCCTGACAGGAGAAGCTGCTTTCAAGAGCCACAGACGATGCAGTGGGACTTCAGCTGAAATAAATAAGAACCTGTTGAACGTGTTCTTTGCTTAATTCAACACACGTTGTTTGAGTATCTATTATGTGCCAGGAAATGTTCTGGATAGTAAAAATATTTCAATGAACAAACAGATGAAGTCACCATCCATATATGTCCTTTTTCCAGAGGGGAAAGACAGATAATAAACAAGTAAATGAGTTTATTATTTAGAATGCCTGTGGTGATAGTACTTTGGAGGAAAATAAAGTTGAGGAATAAGATAGGGGATGAAGGGAGTAAGAGAAAGTTTGGGATGTTCAACAGGGTGGTCAGGGAAGGGTTCATTGATGAGGTGACATTTGAGCAAAGACCTGAAAGAGAGGAAGGATCAAGCCCTGCCGATGGTTGGGGGAAGGGCTTTCCAGGCAGAGAGAGAGCAAGTGCAAAGGCCCTGTGGTGCGGGCAGGTCCAGGGTGCCGGAGGAACAGTGGGAGGGTTGAGTGGCTGGAGCAGAATCAAAGTACTTGGTGCTCAGGCCTGGGTTTGGCCTTGAGGCCGATTTGAGAGAAGGGAACAACACATTCCTTGGCCTGAAGGAGGCAGAGCCTCTAAAGACCATACAGCAAATGCTAAAATAGCTGCACACCCAGGAAAGATGGAGTTGCGATCCATGCTGTGCAAGTTCAGAAGAGAAAACTCAGGACGTTGGAGCAGGCAGAGAGGGCTTCAAGGAGAAGGTGGAGACCAGCGGGAGAGGCACTGCAGGCAGGGAGTGTGGACACAGGGCACGCTGCGGGGCATTCTGATTAAATATCAGCGACATTCTCTGTGCCCTGAGCAATTTGGGATTATTGCAGCTTGAGATTTTTAGAGACAAGTCAACAGAGGTTCATAATGTGCAGGTATTTTCTCTGAGGAGGAGAAATTCCGCAACAAGGCTTCTGTCTTTCCTCATTACAAAGGTCCTGCTGCCGTACAGCACGAACGTCTTCTAGACATCAGCGTTAACTCATCAGCGTTAACTCAGTGAGAGGGAGTTGCAGTAGACGGGCAAGACTGACCAGCAGAAGGGACTGGACTGCCCAGAGCAGCCTCCACGGTGCCACTCAGGAGCTGCCCTCCCCCCAGAGCCCTCAAGGGCTCTCGATGCCACACATTTTTCCTGCTTAGCCTTTGCCTCCTGTTTTAAGGCAAATAACCCTGGGAGGATCATATTTTGGGCCTAGCACACATTTATGCCTGTGGTTTTCCTTAGTTTGTTGTTTTATTCGTTCATTCATTTATCCATCAATTCACTCAGCAAATATTTATTCTCAGCTTGTCACTGGCTACCTGAGTGACCCCCACCCATAGGGAAGTTCATCTGTACCCATGAAAACTTGATAAATCATCTTTAATAAAGCCCAGTAACTTAAGATGCCACATAGACAGGACCAGAAAGATGGTCCCTACTCTCTGCTACAGCCGGGGCGAGCTCCCTAATTTATGAGTCCTGGTGCAAAATGAGAATACAGGGTCCCTTGTTCAAAAAGCAGGTGAAAAGTGCCACTAAAGGCACTAAAATATGAAACTTTTCCCTTTCTTTTGAGGAAGATTAGCCCTGAGCTAATATCTGCTGTCAATCCTCTTCTTTTTGCTGAGGAAGACTGGCCCTGAGCTAACATCCGTGCTCATTTTCCTGTACTTTATACGTGGGACGCCTGCCACAGCATCTGGATCCGAACCAGCGAACCCCGGGCCACGAAAGCGGAAAGTGCGAACGTACCACCAGCTGGGCCATGGGGCTGGCCCTCCCTTCTTCCATGGTCTCTCTCACCCGCTCACGGCATCTGTTTGTTATTTAATCTTATGCTTCCTCAGGCGCAGGGATATTTGTAAGATGAGCGCAGACCCTCGCAGGCTCCCTGACTGCATATTCACACACAGCCACCAGCGCTGGGACGTCTCCTCTGGCCAGCCGCCAGACTGGCGTGCCATGCTCTGGGCAGATCCCAAGGTGGGATGGGAGAGCCCCCCAGGATTAAACCTCTGTGCCAGGTCATGCTCAGTACTTGGATCGAAGGAAGGTGACAGTCTCACCTCTGTGGCTACCCGCCAAATGCACTGTGGCACTGCCGGCCCAGGGCAGGGATGGCTGCCACATGCCTCTCCCAGAGGTGATGCAGGGCACGCGTGTCATGCTCAACTGTAATCCTCCCTGTGCCCATATCCAGGCCCCTACCAGGGGCGGAGGCGGACAGTAGTGTGGGGCAAGGGCAGGGAGGGGGAAGCCAGGCGGGGCCTCCCCAGCCAGGGAGCAGGGAACAGACGCTGAGAACCCAGCCCGGGGAGGCAGGGAGGCACGGAGGCAGGGAGAGGCAGACCAGGCATGAGTGAGGCTCCAAGCCCCGGTGCATGCTTCACTGGGCCACCGGCCTTCACTCATGAAACATAAATTCAAAGACAATCTTATTAAGAATGGTGAAATTATTCTTAAAACTATCTTCTTGAATAATTCTCAAAATGATTAAAGGTAAAACTATCAAGACAGTGGCCACAGAGCATTAACCCCCAAGTGCGGGACCCTTCAAGCGTGGGGCCCTTCTGAGTGTGCGGCCCCGTGCAACCACATTGGTTGCACACCCATGGCTACAACTTTCAGTGTACACATCTTACGGTTTAGTCCTCGGCAAATTTTCTTGCTCCCAGTTGCTTCTGTCAAAGTAGAGATGGGTCCTCAGTCGGGCACTATGGAGGCGGGAAGCTCCTGGCTGCAGGAATGAGCACATTGGAGAAGGCCTAAGGAGAATAGTCGAGCATCCTAAGATTCAGACCACTGTCGTCTCATCAGCCTCTTCCAGATGCTAAAAAGCCCCTCAGGGTCTTGGGGGTCCGGTTGGTTTGTGTCAGAAGTAATAACGTGCATTTTGTTTATTTTTTAAAACTGGAACATGCTTACATTTACCAGCCTCCGAAGTCAGAGCCGTGTTTCATGTTTCCCAGAACGCTTTGAGAAAGGTTCCCCAACATGTTCTTTTTTTCTCCCTAAGGTGAAGTTCAACCCTAACACTTAACACCACTGGTTACTGGCGAGTAGTGTTGAGAACATCTCTTTTAGGCTCCATTTCTTATCCTAAGGTACTTGATGAATATGCACCCACACTTCACTCTGGAAGGTTTTGAAGGCCTCTGAAGAAAATGAAAACAGATTTTGAGTTAAACCTGATAAAGGAATAGAGAGAAGATGCCAGTAAAGTTCTCACTTTGATTTCACAATCCCCCTTTGTGGAGATCCAGTTTCACAAGAATGGAAAAAAGGCCCTAAGCATGTGAGCTTGGTTCAATACCCAAACACAGTACTAGGCAACTGAGACCATTGACCTTGAGTTATTTGGTCACACAAGCGTATCTGAATAAATCTTAAATCTCTGCTGGGCCCTTTTTCCTATGTCTGCCCAGAAACAGTCCCCGGCAGCACCGGCATGTGTCGGCGTCGAGAATCAGCAGCGCCCGGGCCAGCCAGCAGCGCAGCAGAACTTTCCCTCAAAGGGGTTTTTGGCGCGCTGCGTTGCAGGGCCAGCAGCCAGCGAGAAGAGGTGGCGGACTCTCCGCGGCGCCCACAGGCTGGGAGCCTCCACCCCGAGAGCGCTGCAGAGGCCCTGAGCGAGGCTTTGGGAGGGGGCCAAGGTCCTGCAAGCAGGTGGGTGGGGCTCGGAGCCATTGTTCTTTGAACATTTATGCTAAGGTGACCTAATTCACTAAGCACCGGCTGGGGAAGCTAGATATACCTGTTTAAATCCAAAGCCAAAGACAGTAAGCGGTGTTTTCTGAGGGAGCGTGGCGGTTGGAAAATCATCCCGTGTCAGCTTTGTCTCCCACCTCGCGCTGAGAATCGACGCCTCAGTTTTTCCCAGCCGTGGGAAAAGGACCCGAGAGCCCTCCTGGTTTTTGATGAGCTATACCGCAGGGGAGCCAGCAGGGGGCAGTACTGCATTTCAGAGTGGCATCTGAGAACTGTTAAATAATTTAAATGAAGAATTTGAGTCCCCCTCCTTAACAACGGGCCCCCCCGCCCCGCCCCAAACTCCCTTCACATTCTTAGTTACTTGTCTAGAAGACAGGCCTTGTTTTCTTCTGTTTCCTAATTCTAGAGAACCTTAAAGCCATTCTGAAATGATTTCTGTTGCTGTTATGAGGGAGCAAACACATTTCCTCACTGGGGTAGCCTTGAGCAAAATTGTATCATCCTGGACTCCGCACACAGGCCAAGGCGGACTGGATTTTCTTTGCTTCCTTCAATTCATAAATACATTCTCTCTTTCTCTCTCTCACTCTCTCTCTTTCTCTCTCTTTCCTTTCATGGTCGTTTTAAGCTTGCTCTTTAGCTCTGTAATGCAAGGCTTTGCTCCCCATTAAAAGCAATGTCAGGCATCAGTGAGCAGGTAGGAAAAACATTTCAGGAGGTAGCGAGCCTTCGCAGCAAACCTGATATCAATCCTACCTGGAAGGCGGGTCCAGCCAGTAGTGACAGAGTCTGAATCTCTGGTCCGTGAAATGCCAGCACCTCCAGCTTGAGGTCCTGCCTCCTAACTCTGGACCCAGCTCTCCTTGCTGGTGACAGTCATGGCTTCCAAGCTCTTTCCTAATCATGCCTATAACTGAGCCCAGTGTAAATCTGCCTTTGAGTGCCAGAGAATTTCCTATATAGGGCATGTTTTGCTTCACCCTGTCCAAAGCACAATTAGCCAAACCTTGGCCCAAACTACAAGCTGGTGTTTGGCTGTCAGACCCCCTCCTTGCCCCTTCCTCTGCCTTCTGGGCTCCTTCTGAGATCCAGTCCCTTTTCACAGGCTCAGACAGAATCTAAAGGAGTGTTTCCTCCCAGGATGCTTTCCTCGGGTTTTACCTCTGCATCTCTCATTGGGTTGGGTATGGTCCTCCACCAGAAGTCCTACTGGGGAAAAAGAAAACTCATTCACCCTTCGTGACAAGGTGTTCATATCTTAAAAAGGGGAAAATAACCCAAAGGAATTGAGTGCTAAAGGTAGGACTCCTAGTTTTGGGGTGAGACGTATTTAAATGGAGGAGACTAGCCCCCCGTGTAGGTAGCCGCTTCTTCACCCCATGCTGAAGCCAGCCTTGAATCTAAGCAGCTAATATGGGGCCAAACACTGAGCCAAGGTTTGACGAGCAGCCGCCTTTGCCAAGCACTGTTTCTTTCACAGAGCCCCAGTGATCTCATCACAGAGGCTGCTTCTCTGTTACATGTTGCAAGCACAGAATCACCTCTGATAACCTTCGCAGGTGATAATCAGTCTATCCTGAGCGGCTCCTACATGTTCCATACTGGACTAAGCTCCAAAAGGATAAACTTAAAGAACCCATGATCCCTTGTGGAGTTTTCCTCTCCCTCCTCCCAGGAGCTACCTTCCATCTCTATGTTTTTCTGGTGAACTTCTAATAGGGTCATTTCAATAGACTCATTGATTGAGCAACGCTGCATCTTAGAATGACAGCGTCAGACTTCCTTACACACTCCTATTACAAACTTCAGCATGTAATGTTTCCATATGCACTGTCTCTCACAAAGGAACTCAAAACCCTTATGGATCCTGTCTCATTAGCTTCTGAAGAAGCCCTGAAGGTAGAGGAGAAGATGTGAGGCTCATTATTCTATCTGGGAACAGAGACTGGAAGAAACTTCCAGGCCTTCTCTGATATAAGAAAAGACTTGTCCGGGGTCAGCCCCATGGCCTAGTGGTTAAGTTCAGTGCGCTCCACTTCAGCAGCCCAGGTTCAGTTCCTGGGTGCAAACCTACACCACTGGTTGGCATCCATGCTGTAGCAGCAAACCACATAATAAATAGAGGAGGGTTGGCACAGATGTTCACTCAGGGAAAATCTTCCTCAGCAAAAAAAAAAAAGACTTGTCCAAGCTTAGTTCTGGCCACCAATCTGTGCTTTCTAGACAACATTTTGAGTTGATAATCCTAAGGCCATCTTGTGAAACTTGCATGTGCAGGATAACAATTCTCATTCAGGAGCCAATGTTCTCTGTTGAGTTAATAAGGTAAATTAAAACACTGTGAATTGTGTGGCAGGGGGTCAGCATAAGGACCACGGCTTAAGAGTTTGCCTGCATGGCCAACCATACCCAAGCCTTGGCAAGTCCCAGAGGATCAGCATAGAGTCTCAGGTAAAAGCAGAAATTAGAAGAACCTAGACATTTTCATCAAAATGGCAATTCATTATCACACAGACACAGGAGGAAAGGTAAAAACACAGTTGCACGACAGCATATTTGGGGAAATGACAACAGGACAACGAGTGGCCAGGAGACTGGGGGCAAGCACAGTGTGAGAAGTGGCTGGAGAATGGGGGGCCTGACCTCACGGGTCCTGTGGACTCTAGCAAGGGTTTTAGGCTTTATTCTGATAGTTCTCTGAACGGTTTAAACCGGAAAGAGACCTGATCAGATCTGCATTTTGGAGGACTCGCTGGGGCTGTGATGAGGAGAATACGTTATAGAGGCCACAGTGGAAGCAGGAGTCCAGGCAGGGGACCGTCGTCGGGTCTAGAAGGGTGGCAGTGAAGGCAAAGAAAGCCGATGGATATGAGCGCTATTTAAGAGAGAAAATCCCAAGGAGGATGCAGGGACAAAGAACCCAGGACTAGAAACTGAATTTCCCAATATAGACTTTGGCATCTATTACAATTCCACGTCCTTTGAGCTGTCAGGTATCCGGGAGGGTAGCAGAGTAAACGAAGAGTCTAATATTTGGATTCTCAAATTCCTACTGTGTGCTGGGCACTGCTTCAAGCTCCTATAACCCATAGTTAATACGGGCTTTGGAATAAGAAGGATTCCAGCTCTGCGTTTATCAGCTCTTTGACTTTGGACAATGTGCTTAAACTTCTCATCTCTATAATGGGGTTAATAATACCTTTCTTTCAGAGTTGTTGTGAAATTCAAATATACATAAGATAGTTAATGTAAAGTGCTCAGGAGGAGGCCTGGCACATACTAAGCCCTCAGCAAGTGGTAGCTACTACTATAAGCATACATCATCTCACTTAATCCTCACATTATCCCTGGGATATAGAAATTATTGGCTGTTTCACAGATAAAGAAAGTGAGGTTCAGAGAAGTGAAGTAATTTACCTAGAATTTTCACTTCGGGTCATGATGGAGTAGCCGGAGTCAGATTTACCCTCTCACCATGACCAACCAGAAACCTAGACAAAAATATATAAATGTTATTAGACATTGGACAACAAGCAGCACAAGTCTGTGATCCCTGGGAGAAGGGAAACAATTGAAGAGAGACCAATGATTGCCCTGGTTTTCTGCCTGGAGGCACGTTCTAGACCATGGCACAGGGAGAGCCCAGGGGACTTGGTGAGCTGGGGAGAAAGGGATGGAGGTAGGGGGTGGAGAATAGCTGGAATTTCTAGGGCAGAATTCCAGACAGGATGGGGTTACAAAAGAGAAAGAGCTTGGGGGTCCCCTTGACCCTTTGCTGAGTAGTGAGGTGTACATGAATGGAGTGAAATCAATGAAAACATCAACACAATGAGAGAGAAATGGAAGATATAAAAAAACAAATGGAATTTCTAGAGACGAAATTAACTGACTAGATACTGCAGAAGAAAAGATTGCTGAACTTGAGACATAGCAACAGAAACCAGCCAAAATGAGGAGGAGAAAAAAAGACTAAAAAATGAGCAGAGCCTCAGTGATCTGTGGGACAATGTTAAGTGATCTAACATAATTGAAGCCCTCTAAAATGCAGAGAGGGCAAAAAAATTTGAAGAAATAACAGCCAAAAATTTTCCAAATGTGATACTGTTTAAAGTAAAAAATAGTAACAATATATTATGGAATTTATAACACATGTATAAGTAAAATGTATGATCACAATAGCCCAAAGGAGGGGAGGGAAGAATTGGGAATATATTGTTGTAAGGTTCTTAAATTTTGTATGAAGGAGTATAATCACATTTGAAGGTATTCTGGGGTGTGTACTTTATCCAAGGTTGCACGTATGGTGGAGCTGTGATTCAAATCAAGTATTCCAGATTGCAGAGCCTTACGTGGAGAGAGAAGATGGGAGAACAAGCCCACACAGCCTTAGGGTCAGACACACTCTAACACAGCTTTACCGATGGCTGTGGGAATTAAGCTCTTTCACACCTGAATTGTGTCCTCTAAAAAGACATGTTCAAGTCCCAACCCCCTGTCACTGTGAATGTGACCTTATTTGGAAATAGAGTCTTTGCAGATGTTATCAAGTTAAGATGAGGTCATACTGGATTAGGGTGGTCTCTATCCCAATGACTGGTGTCCTTATAAAAAAAGGGAAATTTGGACACAAAGAGAGAAGATACACAGGGAAAATGCCATGTGACAATGGAGGCAGAGATTGGAGCGATGCATCGATAAGCCTGGGAATACCCAGGATTGCCACAACACCAGAGGCTGGAGGAGGCAAGGAAGGATCCTCCCCTAGGGCCCTCAGGAGGAGCGCGGCCCTGCCAACACCTTGGTTTTCCATGTCAGGCCTCCAGAACTGTGAGAGAATAAATTCCTATTGCTTTAAGTCACAAAGTTTGTGGTACTTTGTTACAGCAGCACAATCCCTAAAACTTACTTTTCCCTGATGTTTGCAGTCTTTACAAGGCAAAAAAGATCTAGGGGCCAAAGTGTGAAGCGAATGTTGATAGTAAGGCTCTAAATTGACAAAATAATCCAGCCTCAGGATCTAAGAGCCACAAAGGAGGGAACTGGTTGGACTGGTTTTCTCATAAAACTCAGTGACTTTAATCCCAACTAGGTGGAATTTTAATGTTAATTGATTCAGTAAGAAACGCCTGAGCAGCTGCATGGTGTGTGTGAGGCCTGTGCTAGGTGCACTGGGGAAAGCCAGATAAGTCAGAGGCCCTCTGTCTTTGAGGAGCAATCTCTAATAGAACTCGCCTCAGTGCAAGGTGTAATGGAAAAAGTAAGTGATTGGTCAAGGTACGAGGAACAGGCTGTAGGGGCTCAAAATCAAGAGAGTCATTCACTCCCGCAGAGGGGGGTCAACCAGACTGCTTCACAGAGGAGGAGGAGAGGCAGGGGGAAGTGGGGGAGGAGGAGGAGCAGACATTCACCAAATAGTGCCTGACCGTGGAGAAGCTGGTCTCATGTGTCAGTTAGAGACAAGAAGAGGAAAACAAATCTACCAGAAGTGGTGGTGTTTTTCTGGGGAGCATTTCACCAACAGAGCGTAATTAGGTAATGCTCTGCTCAGAGGAGAGGGACAAAGCCACCTAGACCCTGCTTGAGCAGGGGGCGATTCTCTGGGTTCTCAAAGTCTCATCTTTTCCCTTCTGGTTCTCCACGTGGGGCCGGTGTTCATCACCATGTTCTGCAGAGGCTGAGGAAGGTGGTGAAGATGGAGAAGCTGCAGAGAAGATGTGGAACTGCCAATGGTCTCTTAACTACATTTTGTTAGAAAGCTGGTGGTGTAAGGAGGGGGCGGGCCCTTGTCTAACATCTGCAGGATCCAGGGTGAGTACAGCCTGCATATCCAAGCTCCACCCACATGGCCAAAACCTGACACCCACTGGCCCCATTTGGGCCTCCCCAGTGGCATATCACACTGTCTGGAAAACAGACCCAGAGAAGAGAAAATGTCAGCCTTTAAAGCAGACTTGACCCTTTTGAGCAAGAAATGTTGGTGTCCTAAATACCAAGAATGTGGTCTAGAAGCAGGGTGCAGCCTCTAGTGGGCATATTCTCTTGGCCCTGTTGACCCTTACCCCATGGGAATCACATGGTTGGAACAGGCCTAGAGCAGGACCCTCGAAACCCTGGGACCCCAAGCTGACTGACCCTTAGATTTATCCGAGTCTAAGGTAGCCTTGGGCAGGAGCACTCTTAAACTCAACATGAGCTGATGCTGAGTTTCTTGGTTTTGTTCCGGTGGATGGATGAACTGGTGCTAATCATCACGGCAGCCAGTGTGGAGAATTTCACAGAGGGTAAACTGTCTGAGGCGGTGGTTCTCAACTGGGGCAATTTTGCCATCCAGGGCCATTTCACAATGTCTAGAGACATTTTTGATTGTCACAACTGAGGGATGCTATTGGCATCTAGAGCGTAGAGGCCAGGGACGTTGCAAAATATCCTACCATGGTGTTCTATAGGACAGCCCCCAATCCCAAATATCAATAGTGCCGAGGTTTGGTAAATGAATTGTTATCATTTTATGTGCATTTGAATTTGCCTGCTACAGGGTACTGAGCCTAGAAAGTATGAGATCACAAGCAAGGCCCCTGAAGAAGGACCCAGAGTGATTGCTTCCAGAAAAATGGGTCAGTATCTGCAGAGATACAACTTGTTGGTGAACTCAGGACTGTACTATCAGCCTCAACAAATGGACCTGGAGCCCAGCAGTCAGCCATGCCAAGCTCCCCTAAGACCAACCAGTCCTGAACTGTCAGCACCTTTCCCTTGCGCAACTTCACCCTTCCCACCCCACCACCTCCCCACTCCTGCCATCCCTGCATCTTTGGTCTTTTTCGGGGCAGCTCTCCATTCAACTAAATCTTCAATGCTTAAACTAATTGTCTGAGTTTTCTTTGTAGCTTAAACCTTGCCTCACAGTATCTACTTTTCTTTTATCAGTCTACTCAACTCAGGACACAGACAGAATTTGGACTTAGGTCTGTGTGGTCAACTGAGCAACCAGTACCAACTCCCCAGAGCAGCCAGGGGTCTGGGAGGAATGCTTGGGGCAACATTTTACCAAATGTTTCTGGCCTCCCTCTAGCCCAGAGCAGTAAGTGGTGTTCAGGACATTCTAAACACCAGCCCCCTCTACCCCTTCCCCAGGATCATGACAACTTCTTCTTCTTCTTCTTCTTCTTTTTTTTTTTGCTGAGGAAGAGTCACACTGAGCTAACATCTATTGCCAATCTTCCCCTATTTTGTATGTGAGCTGCCGCCTCAACATGACCATCAAGGAGTGGTGTAAGTCCACACCTGGGAAGCGAAACCAGGCCACTGAAGCAGACTGTGGCAAACTTAAGCACTAGACCATGGGCCAGCCCCTCATGACAACTTCTTAAGCTGAGTATACAGCAATTACTTAATTCTTCTAGACACAAAATAACCAGTAGCTGTGTCCACTCTGAGCCTGTGAGCAAGCAAAACCAAGTCCAAGACTACCTCCTCGTCTGCATCACAAGGCCTGGGGCCCCAGCAGTTCTCGGGTCTAAAGGCTTTTCGGGCTCCTAAAGCTTCCTCTATTTACAATAATGTTTTTCTCTGAAAATATCCCTAATAATTAGCTAAGCAAAAAGGAAAAGGTGTACTTTTATGGACACAGTCAATTCTTGGTTATTCCGGGAGGACTTCTCCCATTTTAGAAATTTCCAGCTTCTTCTTTCTCCCAGACTGTTCTTCATTCATTCCTTCATAAATATTTATCTGGCATCTACTGGATACCAGGCCCCTTAGCCCAGCCCGGGGTGTCTAGGGGTAAAGAGCCATCTTCTCTTATATTATTACCAGGCTGACTCCGAGATTCAACACCTCAGTCAGGAAAGGGAGAAAAGTGTTAATGAAATATTTGCCTTGCAATGGCAGCAGAGTAACAACGTCCTGGGAAATAATTCTTCATACTTCAGCTATTTGGGGCAATATCTGAAGGAGCCTTTAAAAAGGTGGGGGCCGGCCCCATGGCGGAGTGGTTAAGTTCACGCGCTGCGCTTCTGCGGCCCAGGGTTTTGCTGGATCGAATCCTGGGCACGGACATGGCACCACTCATCAAGCCATGCTGAGGCAGCATCCCACATGCCACAACTAGAAGGACCCACAACTAAAAATACACAACTATGTACTGGGGGGCGCTTTAGGGAGAAAAAGGAAAAATAAAAAATCTTTTAAAAAAAAGGAACTATAAAAAGGTGGTATCGTCGGAGAAAGGGAAGGGAAGGATTCTGAGTGACTGGTTGTTTTTTTAAAAGCACCTCAATCTGATGCTTTTCCTACAAATAAATGGTACACATATCTTTCAAGATCTGAGAAGTACTAGTGAGCATCAGTTTTAGAGAGAAATAGAACAAAGCTTCTTTTCTGCGCTAAGAATATATTAGCTTAATGTTGCTTTTTTAAAAAGTTTCCACTGACCTTAAAAGCATTGAAATCTAAGAAACTGGATTTTGGAGTTTGACGTTGAGGGAATCCCGGGGTTGTGGACGCACAGCGACATCAACAACAAAGACAAAAGGGAAAAGAAAAAATGGGGCAGCCGCCTGAAAGACTAGGAATCCTGGTCCCAGCAGGGAGCCAGGGGGACTGCCAGGCACACAGGCTGTTCACGCCACGTGACCGTTCTCTCAGCCTTCCCCTGGGGCCGGGAGACAAAGGCGAGGGGAGGAGACTGGGGGACAAAGAGCAAGAGCTGTAGAAACCAGCTCTGGGGTGAGGATGCCACCGTTACCGGTCTGAGTTTCTGCCTTTGTTTTTTATCTCATGAAGCGAGTTAAAAATTAACCCGAGCTTGTAAAAAGACTCATAAGTAAGTAAGTAAGAAAAAGCACCTGTGGGGACCTCTGAGGGTAGCTGCTTATGCAGTCTGTTCGCCATGCTGAGACCGGCGAGCAGAGGGAAAGGCTTTCCCGACAAGCTCGAGCCCCCAGCTCCTCCTTTCAGGGTCTCCCTTCCTACGCCCGCTCGAATCTGTGAGCAAACCTCCTCTCCCTGCCTCCACCTTAGCATTTACCCCTTCAGTGGCCTATGCCTGGCCTAAACCCATTATGGAAGAGAAAACTGGCTAACGAGTGTCACCAAATGGCCAAATGGTGGGAAAGGAGATCATTTTTTTGTTATTTGATGTTGTTTAGAAAAATGCAAACATCATGATAATGAGGCCAGTCTAGAAGATGCGGCCAAAGCAGGACAGATTTCAGGTCCTGGAGGGCTGTGGAATCCATTTTCCCTGGGTACAGTGAAACTGTTTCCTCTAGCTTCACCTTTATGATGATTTCCATTATTTGGAATGTTTATGAGTTTCTCTCTCTCTGTCACGCCCCCCCCCCCCCCCCCACGCACACACACTGAGAGCAAGATGCAGTTTAGAAATCAAATCTCTGTTGAACAGACTATGAATTTAAATTTCGGAGAAAAGGAATAAAAATCCCACTTCTGACATTCAATGTTGAGTTTATCTGCCGAGGCTTTTTATCATTTGTTTTGTCTTGGGCTCCTACCAACTTCTCCTCCCCTCTGATTTCCCTTTTGACTGATGGAGAGAGATCCTGGAGTTGCAGGCTCGTCTGGTCCCTTTCCGATCTTGGAGTAAGGATGCACAGTGATGAGGCCCGGTAGGCAGATATAAAGAAACAACAAGTAATATGTTTTCCTTTCTTGCTTTTTAGTCTGTCATTAGCTCTAAGGGCACGATTTTTCTTTACTTTTCATTTTTTTGAAATTGAAATATAATTTACATACAAGAAAATGCACAGATCTTAGGGGTACGGTCCAGGGAGTTTTGACAAATGCACATACTTGTGTAACTCACACCTCCATCAAAATAAAGAACACTTCCATTATCCCTTCCCCCCAAATTTCCTTGTGCCCTTTCCTGGTCACTCTCCTCTGAACCTCACCCCCCTCCTGGGCAACCTTGTTTTGAATTCTATCACTTGAGATTCACTTTGCCTGTTCTAGAATTCCATACAAATGGAATCATACAGTATGTAGTCTTTTTATCTGGCTTTTAGTGCTTAGCATAATGTTCTTGAGATTCCTTCACGTTGTTGCAGGTCTCCGTAGTTTGTTTTAAAGGTACTTCTGACAACAAAACCCCACAGTGTATTAGGCACCCTCTAGATAGAGTCTGATCTTAGGCACTGTGCTTGGTGTTGAGAGTGTGGTGGCTTTGTTCTGTGTCAACTTAGCTAAGCTGGAACTGTTTTCCAGAGTTCCCTCCCCTGGATATTCCAAGCAAGTGTTGGCTACAAGAGAAATTTGTGTGGTATTTGGAAGATGTAAGTGGAGCAGCAGCCATGTTTTTAATGCTCTGAAGTAAGTGCAGGGCACCAGGCACCGGGGCAGCTCACGTGCTCTGCTGGTCCACAGGCGTGGGCAACATCCAGGCCCGCAGCTCTCCTAGCTCCCGCCACAGCTCCCTTAGCTTCTCCATGGTCTAGGTCAAGTGCGTGTGGCTCCAGGTGACGGTGACAGCATCTCCTGCAGGGCACCCATCGCATCAGGGTTGGAAGTAGTGGGTTTTAGTTTGTCCTCATGAGTTCCCATTTGTCCTTGCTCTCGTTCAAGTCCAGCTTTCTTTTCTGACTGCCTGTATGGTGACCTATAGTGACCAAAGGCTGAACACTAGATACAGAGGCAACAGCCTTGCTGTCTTCTACCAGTTTCCACAATTGTGTAATTGAATTTAATCCCTATAGTAAATCCTTTATTCTATATCATTCATAATATTTCTGCTTCTCTGGTTAAATCCTGACTGATTCAGGAAGGACTAAAAGTCAATGTCCACATGGGCAACGCATCCAACGTGAAACCTAGCCTCCTCGCTCCTTAGGTTTGGGGCCCAGCATCCACTGCAGCAGTTCTGCTGTGGCTACACCCCGGACTCTGAGAACACCTGGGGTTGCTCCACCTCTATACTTCCAGTATAAATTCTGGTTCTTCCAGTCTTCTTACTCCTTTTCCCTCACTACACCTGCTCCTGGACCTCATCTAGACTGCCTGCCCTTGACATTCCCTTCATCTCGGTCTGTCAGCCTCCTGGCTTCCGTTTATCTCTTCTCCTGTCTACACCTCATAGAACCACCTGAACCACTTTCTTGCCAGCAGCTTCAGTGCTGTTAAGAAAAATTATCCAGGGCCAGCCCGGGTGGTTAAGTTCAGCACACTCCGCTTCAAGTGACCTGGATTCGATTCTCAGGCATAGACCCACACTGCTCTGTTAGCAGCCATTCTATGTTGGTGGCCCACATACTAAAAAATAGAGGAAGATTGGTATGGATATTAGCTTAGGGCGAATTTTCCTCAGCAAAAAAAAAAATTATCCAAACTTGGAAACAAGGCAAGAAGGTGACTGCATGTCTTTTCAATGTTTAGCACAGTTTAACAGGCTCACCCAAGATTATTTAGTTATCTAGAAGAAAGAATCCAAGTTTGACTTTGCTATTTACTATTCATTGCAGCCCAGACACTGCGAAGTTACATGGTACCTTACAGATTTTTGTCTAATAGAGATGTAAATGACTTCTGTCCAGTGGAAAAGATAAACTATGGTTTTGTTGCCCTGTAGGACACCAACAAGTTTTGTATCTAACTTAGCAAACGTATTGTAACATTCCCTTTTTTTGCCTGTAAATACCTAGGGGTTTTTTGCCTATAAATACCTTGCTCTTGGAACAAGCTTTACCATCTTACTGGTTCAGTCACTAACTGATGAATCTTTGACATATGTTCATTTCATATTTGTATCAGAATCACATTTTTAAATTTTTGAAAATTATACGTTGACAATACCTTCACTCCTTGTCCATTTTGAACATCAGCTCTATAAAACATCAAACCTGTACGCATCCAGCCATTTGCACCAAACTGTTCTGTGATGTGGTTTTCCTCCAACAGTGTCCTTCAAGACCAGATATGGATAAAGCAAATATGGTCGCTCTGCAGTGGCTTCATCAACTACCGCTCTTTCATATATCTCCACCTTCTTTCTTGACTTCTTCCCCTCAACCACCAAATATGCTCAAATTTTGCCCATCTTGAAAAAAATATCACTCTTGACCCAAGAACATCCAAGCACGGGGGCAAACACTGTGGTTATTGCCTGGATTATCACACTCTTGAATCACTGGCCTTTCCTCTCTGTTGGAACGGGAAGAGCCAAGATTCAAGTAAGAAATTAAGGGAAAGGAGGTAAGGCACGTCTGTTTTGGTTCTTTCTTTTTTTTTTTTTTTTGAGGAAGATTAGCCCTGAGCTAACTGCTGCCAATCCTCTTTTTGCTGAGGAAGACTGGCCCTGAGCTAACATCCGTGCCCGTCTTCTTCTGCTTTATATGTGGGACATCTTCCACAGCATGGCTTGCCAAGTGGTGCCATGTCCGCACCCGGGATTTGAACCAGTGGACCCGGCCGCCAAAGTGAAACGTGTGCACTTAACCACTGTACCACTGGGCCGGCCCATGTTTTGGTTCTTGACTTTAGGTCACCCCTACCCCAAGCAAAAGTAGTTTCTCATATTTTCTAGCTTTGCTTACTGGATCCTCCTAGAACCTGAGTTTTGAAGCCAAAACCTCACTTACAACATTGTATTCCTTTGCTAGCCATACACTTTTGTGCATGTATTTCATATGAGGACCTTCATTCACTCCATCATTTATTCATGCATCATGTACTTATTATCTACATAAACAATGAATTGTGATAATTGCTGAAGATATAACGGACAACAAAGACCTGGTCCTTGCTGCACAGAACTCATAGTCTTGTGTAAGACTTTGAGTCTTACACAAATAATCAAATAATCTCCAAATACAAAATTATATCTGTAAAAAGTACAACAGAGATGAGCTATCTGGGACTCCAGGAGGATCTGACCTGCCTGCTAGGGTCAGTAAAGGTTTCTTTGGGAAACAATGATCATGCTGAAGTCTGAAGGATGAGTAGGTATTAATTAGACAAAACTGAGGAGGCCGAACATTTCAGACAGGGGTCAGTGCATGCGCAAAGCCCTGCTGGAGTGGGGAGGGGCGAAGGAGAGCACACCATGCCAAGAGGAGCAGAAAGAAGATAGAGTGACGAGGGCTCAGTGAGGCTGGTTGTCTGGGACCACACCGTGAGGGCCCTGGAGGGTTAGGAATTAGGATTTCAATCTTAGAACAATGGAAAGCCACTGGAATGAGCATGAGGTAACCAGATTTGTGTTTTGGAAGATTCCTCTGGTTGTTGTATAGAGAATGAGTGGGAAGTTATGTGTACTGTAAGTGGATGTAAGAAGGGGTGGCTAGTTGAGACCCGGATTCAGGTATTCCTGGGTGCTGTACATCTCCATCTCACACCATTCATTCTCACACACCTTCATCTTTTTCTCTGTTCCTCCCTAGAGGTCTCAAAATACTGTTTCTACCTCTACCCCAGCATTTTTTTTAGTGTATTATTGTTGTCTCTTTCATTAACATGAACACATCTCATTGGCGATGACTGTGTCTCCTTCATCTCTCTCCCTTCCTCACCCCCGAGTGTTTTTAGCCTGATGACTGATGCATGGGGGTTTCCAAATAAATGTCTGTAGATCTGAAGG